TCAATTTTGTAACCAACAAGGGCACATACAGGTATCACCTATTAGCTCGCATCCGCATAGCCCACAGCCAGATGGAGCACCTCAGCCGGGAGTCAGGACACTTGGGTCCTATCTCAACCTTGCTGCGTGACCTGGAGCGAGTCCTTTCCGGTTTCTAGGTCTCATTTTTCTTGACTATGTAGAACCTCGATATCCGTCATCAGCGTCTGAGATGCAGATCAAATTAGTGTATCCCTCTGTCCTATATCCTTGGAAAATCCAATGTCCTCTTCAAGAATTCTACCATTTCTTGGGGGCGTGCCTTCTGATGGTCACCCAAGGTCTCGATCTTATGCCTCCTCTTCTGTGACTCATACAAATGCAGAAGACACCCCCCCATGACCTCCACTCATAGCCACACTCCTAATAGCAATCGCACGACGTATCTGCCACATACACAGGTTTGGGGAATAGAGGGAATTAACATCTCTCAGTCACAGATACATCAGAAGTTCTTTAAAAGCCTGTGGTCATCCACCCCTGAGAATTTCTCACCAGCTGTGCTCTTCTCCACAGGCTCAGAGCTCTTCTTACAGAGTGCCGTGTGACTCTGCGTCCTCCCGTCTCTCCACTCCCAGAATCCTGCTCATCCCACATGCACAACATTTTAGAAATCTCTTTGTCTTGTCTCCTGTGGACTCTATCCTTGGGGTCTTACTTCCTCATCCAAAGTGACCTAACCCAGGTAGTTTTCTAAACAAGAGAGTTTCTTCCCCAAGGAGGAACACTGATACCAAGTGTGAAAATGATAATTTCTTTACGCTGTTCTATTTGAATGAGAGAGTACAGCTCCATCAAGGACAGCGAATATGTGGTGTGTGTGTGATAACTTCCCCTCCCTCACTCGTGACCGAGACCCCTAATTGATTTTTTTTTTTTTTTTTTTTTTGCGGTACGTGGGCCTCTCACTGTTGTGGCCTCTCCCATTGCGGAGCACAGGCTCCGGACGCGCAGGCTCAGCGGCCGTGGCTCACGGGCCCAGCCGCTCCGCGGCATGTGGAATCTTCCCGGACCGGGGCACGAACCCGCGTCCCCTGCATTGGGAGGCGGACTCTCAACCACTGCGCCACCAGGGAAGCCCCCTAATTCATTTTTGAACCCTTTCCTAATTCATTTTTGAACCCATCCTGCCAGATGCAGCCTCAGAGTCCTTCTCAACACAGTCTCTAGGCTATATTTCCATCATAACTGGCTCATGAGAGGAGACCTGTTTGCCATCCCTGGGCTAGATAATCCCTAGACATCTTCCAACTCCCAAATTCTCTGGAGTTCTCTTCCTAGCTCCAGAAGCCCAAACCTCTTTGATTCCTGGATTCTTGTGTTGTCGATCATCAGAATCAACAAGGATGTTCCCTTGTCCTTATCTTCCTCTTCCCAGTTCCCTTCTTGTCCTTTCCGGCCAGGATTTCTAGCTTCCCCTCGTCTAAAGCAGAAGTTCTGAATCTGGAGTCTGCAGACCCCTGGAAGGAGGCTGGTCCATGGATAGGTTTCAGGGGTCTGTAAGCAACAGGGACACTGTGGAAAGGAACCAGGGAGATGCCCTCAAACATAGTAATCTGGGGCCATTCAGCACAGGGCAGATAAGCGTGGGCACCAAACAGCCCACGTGTGTGTTCATAATGGTGATTTTGACTCATGCAGAAAGTTAAATTCTTTCAGTTTAAGAAGGAGATGTTAGTTATCTCAAGGATTGCTCTCTGAATGCCATGGGGTTTAGTCTAGTAATGGCTGCAGATATTTTCCAGTAAAGAGACAAGTGCCTACAATGAGTCAGGCACTCTATCAGGCACTCTGAATACATATCCCTTTAGTCCTTAGGTTGAGTGTGTGGATTAATTACTATACGTGTCACCCTTACAGAAAAGGAAGCAAAGGATCAGAGAGGTTAAGTACTTGTCTAAGGTCACACAGCTAGGAAATGGCAACATTAGGGCTTGAGCCCTGTTCTCTGGAGCCCACGGCTACATCCTGCCTCTCTACCCTCTCAAAGCCCCTCTTGGCAGGGTTGGCGCTTTAGGGATGGAAGCTGACCTGGGTGCTGGCGTCTTCAGCAAGGATTGTTTAGCCCAGTGATGGTGGTGAGAGTAGGTACAGTCACTGGGGCCTGTGATGTGCCTCCCAGTGTTGGCATTTTACAGACATCACGTCTACTAAACCTCAGAACAAAAGCGCTTTACGGATGAAAGAAGCAATTAAGGGAATCGGGTTGGGGGTTTTTGTGTGTCTCAGGGGCACTCAGACTGGGTACTTGAAGGCCTTTGTGCCCCGGACACTTTACCAAAAATAAATCCCTTATAAGGTGGTTGTCTGAACCCACTGTCCTCACCCCAGATGGCCTGCTCCTCTCACGCAGGTACACCTCCACCCTCACCCTGCTTCGCCTGAAGCCCTTCGAGGCCGGCCACTACTCCTTCCAGGCCAGAAATGCCAGAGGCGAGGAGACCCTGACCTTTGAACTCACCCTTCTATGTGAGTGATGGAGTGGGGCTGGGGACACGGGGTTCCTGAGGCTGCCGGGATGGCTGGGCTGGGGGAGAGAAGACTCAGTGTCGGGTGGTCAAGCCAGGAGGGGGGCCTCTGGGGCTGACTCCTCCCTCCTTTGCCCCTCCCTCTACCTCAGACCCCCCAGAGGTAGAGGTCACGTGGACCCTCATCAACGGCTCTAAAACCCTGCTCTGTGAAGCCTCAGGGTACCCCCAGCCCAATGTGACGTGGGTGCAGTGCAGGGGCCACACGAACAGGTAAGCGGGCTCTGGTTGCCTTCCTCACCTGGGCGCAGGGGCTGGGGCAGGGGCCGGGCACCCTGAAACTCTGAGCCACATTCTGTTCTTCCCAGATGTGATAAGACCCAAGTGCTGGTCCTGGACGACCCGAACCCTGAGGTCCTGAGCCAAAAGCCCTTCCACAAGGTGACCGTCCAGAGCCTGCTGGCCACTGGGACCTTGGAACACAACAGGACGTACGAGTGCAGGGCCTACAACAGCCTGGGGAACAGCTCCCAGGCCTTCGGGCCTGTCTCTGTAGGTGAGCCTTTGACCCGCCTGCTCCAGGCCAAGATGGGAAGGGGGCCCAGGAAACTACCCCACAGCCCCACAGCTGGGAACCAAGGGCCAGAGTTCCAGTGCCAAGCAGATCCCAGCCATACCGAGTTCTAGCTCTCTGCGTGTGACTCCAGGGCCCCTCCTGACCAAAGCTCTCCTGAAGTGGCGAGATGGGGGAGTCTAGAACCCGTGGGGCTGGAAGTAGTGGGGAGAAGGGCAGAGGGGATGCAGACGTGAGATCCAGAGAGAAAGCAGCCTGAAGCAGCCACAGCCTTATCTGGCCCCTCTCCTCATATTCCTGCACTTGAACTGACTCATTAGTTCATAACTGTGTATTTGGGACTCACTTCGTGCAGGGAGCAATGCCTCCCCGGAGCTTAGTCTGGTGATGTGAGCAGGCGACAAACGAACAGTCCCCTCACCCCCTCCCCCAATCCCAGGGCCGGCCTTGACGGCCTTCTCCATCCCTCCCAGATTCCCTTCCTGCCAGAGACACAGTCCTATCCATTCAGGGCCACTGTCCAGGGCGGGCGTCACTAACGCAGCTGCATCATCCGTCTAGAGGAAGAGGCATCTTTCTCTGCGTTGCACAAAGGCTGCATGTGGGTTAGTTCTCTGATTCTGAGAGGCCCAAGGTTGCACAGGCCCACAGAGCCCTCAGGCCTCTAAAAAGCAGATTCAGCACCCACTGTGTGCCAGGCCCCGGTGAGGCTCTCTGGGCCCAGAGAGGACAGAGTGGGAGCCTCTGCCTGGCTCACAGGGGGCCCGCAGGTGCCCCAGCTGCTGGCCTTGGAGCAAGTGGGGCTGAGGCCCGATTCCACATGCCGCTGCCTTGGCGGCTCTGTCTTGCAGCTGGTGGTCGTATATTACAAATAATAGAGCCAACATTTTATTGAAGGCTTATACTGTGCCAGGCATCATGCTAAGCCCTTTACAGGCATTATTTCAATGAACTCGCCCACCCCTAGGAGGTTAGTACAGTCCTCCTTCCCCCCTGGGGCATGATGAACCTGAGGCCTAGAGAGAAGCCACAGGTTCACTGTCACACCTCCCAAGTGGCAGAGGTGAGGCTGGGCCTCAGACTCATGCTGCTCATCTGGGCCAGGAGGTGGAAATTATGTCCTTCCAAACACATGAAGGGAACTAGGGCTGTTGATCTGGGAAGAGGAGACCCCGGGTCCATGAACCTGGCTTTCAGACTCCCAGAAGGGCTGTGTGGTCCCAAAGGGCACTCGGGGAAGCTGCAGGGAAATGCTGGGGAGGCAGATTTCAGTCTAACCTCTAGCAGGTCTTTCCATCCGAGCTGGCCGGAGGTGTAGGTGGGAAGTCTCCACACTGGGGGAGTGTGCACGTCATGGCTGAGCCCCAGGCCAGGCTGCTGCAGAGGCTCCTTGCACGGGCAGTGGGTGGGCTGTGTGACCTGAGGGGCTCCGCTGGCCACAGAGGCTGCGAGTCTGGGCAGGGTTTGGAGCTGGTCACGAGCAGTGCTAGAGAGGTGGTCCTCCCTGCCCCCAGCTGGGGGAGGGCCTACGGGCTTCCCGCTGAGAGGACTCCTCGTTCAGTCAGTAAGAATTTAGTGGGCACCTACTGAGTTCCAGGCAACTGGCCTGTTCCAGTGGGGAGCAGGGGGTCTCAAAGGCCCCTTCTGCTGCTCACTCCTCTGCCCCACCCTTTCCAGAAGCCTACACGCAGCCCCTTGACGAGTCCCTCTTCACGCCGGTGCTGGTGGCCTGCATGTCCGTCATGGCCTTGCTGCTGCTGCTACTCCTGTTGCTTTTGTACAAGTACAAGCAGGTGAGCCTGGGCAGGGCTGGGGGGCAGCCAGGCACCCGAGTGAGCCAGACCCTGGGGCAGTGCCCCCAGGCTGTGTGGATCCACCCTTCAGCCCCTGTGAATACGAATTCACCTGTCAGCCAGTCATTGAACCAACAGCTCTTTAATGGGTGCCTGCTGTATGCCAGTGTCAGTGGCTGGGTGAGCCAAGCCTCGGAGCCTCTGAGGTTTTGCCCTCGTAGAAGTCTCCGTCTAGTGAGCTAGACGGTTGCTAATCGAATAGCCACGGAAGTGAGGGCGTGGATCACAGAGGGAGAGATGCTACGGGGAGAGCCGTGGCCGTTGGGGAGAGCATGAACATGGGAACTTGTCCCAGCTGGGGGCTTCCAGGGACACAGAGAGGGTATCATGGGGCCAGGCCTGTGTCTCTGTCAGGTGGCAGGTAAGTTAGTGGAGGGGAAGGCCTGACCATTATCGTCCTCGTCATTATTTAATATGATTATTAATCAAGTCTGCCGTTAATTGCACGTTGACGTTTAGTGCGCTGCCTGTCGCTCTGAGTGCTCAGTCAGTGATGGTGATTTTAGGGGCATTGTTATGAAGCATGTTACCTACATCCCCTCATTTACTGACCTCAACAACCATGGCATGTGGGTAGTATCACTACCCCATTTTACAGAGTTGGAAGCTGAGGTTCTGGGAGGTTGAGACAGTTGCCCTAGTCTACAGCCAGTCAATGGCAGAGGCTGGTTTTTTAAAAGCCATTTTGTTAAAAACCCATGGAATCATCTTATTTTACCCTCAAAACAATCTAGAGGCAGGGACTAGAGCAGTCAGCATTTTACAGTAAGGAAGCAGGCTCAGCAAGGTTGAAGGACCCGCCCAAGAGTCCCAGTTGCCTTGCACCCCAGAGCCTGTGGCCTCCACCACTTAGCCTCACTGCCTCCCTACATAAAAGACTACTTCTGGTGCAGTCAGGCACTGAGAGGGCCAGGCCAGAAGGCTCTGGGAGGCCAGAAGTGGAGGGATCTTTTCCGGCTGGCAGGGAAGGGAGTCTGCTTGGAGGAGGTGGCTTGGCGTGGGTGGGACAGGTCTTGGAGAACGGGGCAGGCAGCCAGGGGGAGATGAGATTCAGGGAAAGGATGTCTCTGTGGGAGAGGGCGCTGTGTACAAAGAGGCAGGTGGGGGGAAGACCAAGGTGAGTTCCGGAAATACTGATGCCTGGAAGAGGACCCAGGTGGGGACAGGTTGGGGGTCTGAGGGGTTGGACCCCATCCTGTAGGTTCAGCAGGTGTGAACAAGGCAGTGAGGTGAGTTAGGGGTGAATAACCCACCTTGTGGGCTCCTCTGCTGCCTTCTCTTCCCCACACCTGCCTTGTGGGTTTTAGTGTGAGTAGAGGACTTGGAGTAGATAGGTAGGTGGTATGTGGGGGGTGCCCAGTGCTTATGTCAGCACACAGCATGAGGAGGCAGCTCTGAGCGCAGCATCCAGGGCCCCAGGTCAAGTCTTCAGGGATCTGGGTCCTGCTCGGACACTGGTTTGCCATGAGACCATGGCTGGGTGACTGTCCTGTTTGGGCTTCATGCAACCTTGGCGGGTGGACTGCCCGCTCTGGGCCTCATTTTCCCCACCTGTTCATGGTGGGGTGGGTGACCTTTACAGCCTCCTCCCGTGACATGCCAAGAGCCTGATGGTCTAGTTTAAGAGCCAAGGGTTGGGAGTTGTGTGGATCTGGGTCTGAATCTTGGATGGGCCAGACAGCCCTCCAATCCCAAGATGCTTGAGCTATCTTGAGTTCCCCAGCCAACTTCCTCCTGGGTCCAGGGTGTGTAGCATCCATTCAGAGCCCTGTCCGTGCCCAGCACCCTGCTCAGTCCTCTACACGCCGTCACCTCGGTGAACCTTCAGCACAGTCTGGTGCGGGGGCTGCCATTATCAACACCATTTCACAGATGGAGAGACAGAGGCTTAGAGACACCAATTTTCCTAGAGTCCTAGAGCCTGGCAAGGCGGGATTCAGACCCAGATCCGTCCAACTCCGCCCGCCTCCGGGGACAGGACTTCAGTCATTGTTGTGGCCTCCCATTCCTTCTCTGCGCAGCTCTGTTGCAAAGTTCTTCCTTATATGGAGCTGAAAACAGCCTCTCCGTCCCCACAGAGCTGCCTCCTCAGCCTTGCAGAGATTCTAGAGAAGGGCCCAGTTCCCCTCCAGCCCTTTCTGCCTTGGGCCGCCCAGCCCCCTTGGCCAGCCGTGGTTTGGGGACACCTTACGTTCTCTTCACGGGACCATCTTTGGAACATGTACTCCAGTCACCTCTTATCCCATTTAAGAAACTGAACTGGCCCGTGAGCTGACTCAAGGCCAAGAGAAGGAGGGCATCCCAGGGGTCAAGATGACCATGCCCTGCCTCAGGGCTTGTTGTCCAAGTGTCCTCTGCTTTGTTCCACAGGGTTCTGAGTCTTGTCCCTTCACTGGGGACTCAGCCTGGCTTGTCCTCACTACTCAGGCCTGAGGGGAGGGGTGGCCCCACTTGAGGGAAGGGTTGCTTCTGTCTCAGGGCTGACTCATCGCCTTTCTGGCCCCCAGAGAGACCACAAGGGGGGCCAAGGGGGGAGAGAAAAGGGCAGAAGTCAGCAGGCTGGAAGGAGGAAGGACATGGGGAAGAAAGGATGATGGTGATGGGGAGGACAGGAGGAGACGGGGAAGCCACTGGAGAGGCTGGAATTCTGGGGATTGGAACTGAGCTCTGGGGATTGGGAGGTATGTGGGGGAAGCACAGGAGGGTCCCCAAGATTTCCAGTGGAAACTGTTCAGATCTCCCCCTTCCTGAGACAGAAAACATCCGCCCACCCAAAACAGCAGGCCTGGATGGGGAGTTGTGGGGACTTTGATGATTCCATGCCTACCTCGGTCACCAAGGGGAAGTGGCCTGGGCCTGTTGTGAGCATTAAGTGGGATGACGCACGTTGAGTGTGGAGCCCAGCGCCCACTCACAGGAAGTGCTCAGGAGACGCTCACTGATAGCATTATACTCCGAGGCTGCCCATCCTGGCCTCCCCATTAGGGTTCTCCTTCAGAGGAGAGGCCCCTCTGGGTAGAAGCCCCCGGGAGTTACACAGAAGCCCTGTCTAGGGATAGCAGAGGCTGAGAGCTAGTGTCTGCTTTCCAGGAAGAGGGGTGGGGATGCCTGAGGCAGGCGTGGGAGAGCTGTGTCGTCCTCCAGGTATCAGGTCTGGGATTCAGAGAGAGAGCTGAAGTTCCAGCCAGAAAGCCAGCTCGCGGTGGGCTGGGGAGGGGCTGACTCAGGCCCAGCTGTGGGGCCAGAGGAAGGAGAAGTGGCGGGGGGGGGGGGGAAACCAGCCGTCACCACAGTGGCTCCTGGAGATGGAAGTGGCCAGGCAAGGTCAAGGAATCCCTCCCGGTTCTGTGTCCATCCTTTGTGTTGGGAAGGCACCCACACACAGGGTTTGAATCCTCTGACACTCCAGAAGTCCTCTTCCTGTCCCGTTTCAGACTATCTGCTGAAACTGTAACATGGATGTCCTTAGGTTCACCACTAGTCTCTCGTCCTGAATCAGGACCTGGAAATTCTTCCTCATGTCTAACTGCAGTCTTTCCCCCCGAACTACCATCCGGAAGTCCTTCCCTATGGCTATCTGGAGTCTTTTCCCTTAACCTGGTGAGACTTGTCACCCTCCTCCCCAGCACCCACTTTAGCTCCCCCTGCCCGAGTTGGGTGCCCCATGTAGGAGCCCAGCTGCTAAGCACAGCCCAGCTGGTCCCTGTCCCCCACAACTGACCGGAAAGCGAGCTGGACTGCTGACCCGAGGCCTCAGTGTCCTCCACCGCCCCAGCCCAGCTTCCACTTTCCACCTAAACTCTGTCTGCCATCAGCACTTCTCATGGGTACCCCTGGCATGATGCCCCCATGCAGCTGCCACCAGGGGCAGGAAAGAGAGAGGCAGCCGCTCCTCCTCTGCTTATGCTCTGCCGCCAGCTGGCTGGTTGGAACAGCTTGGAGAGCCTGAGGGGAATGCAGGTCCTCCAGACGCCCGCTGTCTTGTACGTGGGGTCTCTCTCTGTTGGTCCTTGAGCAATGTAGAGTCGGATGCATCGCTCGCCTGCATCGAGCCTCAAAGGGTTCCCCTTGCGCTTAGAGAACTCACTTGCTGATTGCAGCCCTCAAGACTTTCCTGCCTCCAGAACCGCCCCCTGCTCCCCTCCAGCCACACGGCACCTTCCAGTCCCTTAGACTCGCCCAGACCTTTCCCACCCCCAGGCCTCCACTCCCTGCACCCGCGAAGTGCTTCCCCTGCTGCTCACGTGGCCAGCTCCCTCTCGCCTCCTCAGGGGCCCTCCCTGACTTGTGTTCAGTTGTCCCCGGTGCTCTCTGTCCTATTACTTTGCTTTCTTATCTCCATAGCACTATTCGAAAATTTCCTACATAGGTATCTGAGTTGATTGTCCGTCTTAGCAACTAGAATGCAAACTCCAGGGGACAGGGACTCTTGTTTTGTCAAACTCTGAATCAACGATGCCTGAAACAAACAGGTACTCGGTGGAATATTTGGATGGGATAATATTCAGCCTTAAAAAGGCAGGAAATGCTGACATAGGCAACAACATGGATGAACCTTGAAGACATCATGCTAAGTGAGATAAGCCAGTTACAAAGGGACAGATCCTGCATGACTCCAGTTAAATAAGGTACCTGGAACAGTCAGATGCAGGAGATAAGTGGCTGGGGGCTCGGGGGAGGGGGGAACAGGGAGTTGTTGTTTAGTGAGTACAGACTTGAAGCTTTTCAAGATGAAAAGAGTCCTGGAGGTTGGTTGCACAACAGTGGGACTGTCTATAACACTACTGAACGGTATACTCAAAACTGGTTGGGATGGTAAATTTTGTTCTTACCACAAGTGAAAATAAAACAAACAAGTAATAATTGGATGGGAGGATGGACGGATGGATGGATGGATCTACAGTTCCACCCTCCCTCCTGGCTCAGGAATTACTACCTTATCAGAGCTGTCAAAACCCTCAGAGGTGGTCCTGTCCAAATCTTTCAATACACAGGTAGGGAAACTGAGGCTTGGAGAATGGACGGTCCCATGGTAAGGCCAAGCCAGGCAGGGACGGGGCTCTCGGTGCCATGGGCATGAGATGACACAGCCCCTCTCACCACGTCGCAGGCCACACCGACCTCCTCCCGCTGTGCGGTGGGACTGCCCAGCCCCTGTCCTCCCGGGTCGGGATGATGTCCAAGATCCACCTGCCAGGCCCAGCTGACCCATGCCTCCTCCCTCTCCCTCTGCAGAAGCCCAAGTACCAGGTGCGCTGGAAGATCATTGAGAGCTACGGGGGCAACAGCTACACCTTCATCGACCCAACCCAGCTGCCCTACAACGAGAAGTGGGAGTTCCCCCGGAACAACCTGCAGTTCGGTGAGCCAGGGTCTCAGCAACCAACACGCCCTCCTGTCACAGGGCCAGCGTGGGTGGCAGGGAGCCTGTGGGCCCTTAGGTGCCCCGGGACCTCAGCAGGCTTTGTGTGTGGCAGGTAAAACCCTTGGAGCAGGTGCCTTTGGGAAGGTGGTAGAGGCCACGGCCTTTGGTCTGGGCAAGGAAGATGCTGTTCTGAAGGTGGCTGTGAAGATGCTGAAGTGTGAGTACAGGAAGCAGCTTTGGGGCAGCGGGTAGGAGGTGGTATCTGCCAAGGGAGGGTCTGTTCTGTCATCACAAGGGCATCACCCACATTTTCGGCCTGTCAGGGCCTGTGGAACAGAGCCTGGGATCGGGGGTGAGGACTCTCGGCTTCCTTTGTGAGCTCCCGGCTCCCTCGAACTCCTGGGTGTGGAAGGGCTTCTGCCTGAGCCTCGAAGGGGCTCTGGTGCACAGAGGCCATCCTGGCCTATGGCCTGGCCACAGGTTGGTCTCCTGCCACCCCAAATCAGCTCAGTAACAGGCCATCTCTCCTCTCTCTCTCCCCGTAACTCCCATTGTGTGTCCTCACTTCTCCTGCCTCTTTCGGCTTCTGATTGCTTTGGGGCTCTGGGTCCCCTCTGCTTTGCTTCCCTGGGCGTCTGTGTGCATGGCTCTCCACGTCCTGCCCTTTCTCTGTCTGTGGGACCTGTGGCCCCATCTCCCAGCCACGGCTCACGCTGACGAGAAGGAGGCCCTCATGTCGGAACTGAAGATCATGAGCCACCTGGGCCAGCACGAGAACATAGTCAACCTTCTGGGAGCCTGTACCCACGGAGGTAAGGGGCCCATCGTGGTGGGGCCTCTTGGGTGTCTGAGGGTCCCAGGGCTACCTCACTCCATCTTCCCCGTCCCGTCTCCACAAAGTGAAGGTGGGATCCCTGTCTCAGCAACCCTTGAATTCCTAGGCCAGATGCCTGGACTGGTCAGAAGCTGCTTATGGATGACAGGCAGTTCTGTGAGATCTGATCAGTGGCTCTCAGACATGGGTGGGCATCAGAGTCACCTGGAAAAGGAGAAAAGAGTGCAGATGCCTGGGCCCTGCTCCAGGGAGTCTGACGCTATGGGTCTGGAGTGAAGCCCTTCAAATCTACCTTTTAGGAAGTCCCCACTCAAAGAGGCTTGGACACTCACCACAGGGCCCACAGAAGTGCCCCAGGGCCTGTTGGGACTCTCAGTCTGCTCCAGTCTCTTCTCCTATAGCATCTTTGACTTGTGTGGAACTGTCATAGATTTCCTTCGAAGAAAGAATTATTCAGCTACAGTTTTTTGGAGGTTCCTCTGCTTTAGACAGTTGGGTCACTGAGGTCACCCAGAAAGCAGAGAGGGCTGCTTATAGACAGGATTAGAACCCGGGGCTCCTGAGTTCCAGTCCAGGTTCTTATTGCCCCCGCCCCATGTTCCTGTCCACATGGGGTGGTGTGTTAGGGGTGCACTGACCCCACTCTTGGCTGCTCTAGGCCCTGTCCTGGTCATCACCGAGTACTGCTGCTATGGCGACCTGCTCAACTTTCTGCGAAGGAAGGCTGAGGCCATGCTGGGACCCAGCCTGAATCCAGGCCAGGACCCCAAGGCAGGCACCGGCTACAAGAACATCCACTTGGAAAAGAAATACATCCGCAGGTAGTATCCTGGTGAAAGACAGGAAGGAGGCCAGGACTGGGAGGTGGGGCCCCCACTTCTGTCCCCGAAGTCAGCTCCGGGTTGGGTGGCTTGCGTGGCCCTCACCTTCCCGTTTGTGCTGTGCGGAGTAGCCACCCATATTATGTGGGCAACTCAGTTTTCCTCCGATTTATTCCCATCATCCAACAAATATTTGAGCCCCTACTATGTTCTGGGAGTATTGAGGGCAAAGATGGGCCGCTCATCGTCTGGTGGAGATGGGCATTAATGAAATCATTATCTTATCATACGTAAAAGACCAACCAAGATCCGTCCGGGGCCCTCGCCAGCGATGGGCAAATCTTGGGGATAATGGCCCTGTTTCTCCCATAGCATGTGCTGTCGGGGGCTGGAGGGCACCCATTCCACTTTTGAGTAGCCATGCAGAAGTGGGATAGAGTCTTTCGGGCGTTGAATGAGCAGGGGCAAAACAGCATAGCTGTGGCCAGGTCCCTGGTCTACTTGGGCCTCAGCTTCCCCAGCCAGCCATCAGGGGTTGAACCCCTCAGGGTCTCTCTGCTCTCTCGTTCTGTAATGCTGTGATTCCTGGAAGCCACCCAGAGGCAGATGGACAGAGCCACATTGGGAAACCAGAGAAAGGAAGTGGCCTTTGTGTCACACATGAGTCAAGGGCAGAGGCGGAGCCTGGCTGGATTCTGCTCTGTTGACTCCTTGTCCAGTGCTCACCTGAGCTACACTGATCTCCTGGGAGTCTTGGACTCGGGGCTTGTGAGGCTTCAGGGCCAGGCTGCTGGGTCAGAACAAGGGTATATATACACTGGGCTCCTATCCTACCGATGTCAGCTGCCAAACCAGGGGAGGCAAAAGGGGAAGGAGGCCATTTCACTCCACCCAGCGACCTCGAGTATGGGGTCTGGCAGGATTTTCTCTGATTTTCTGACACCCTTTTGAGTGGGTGGCTCACGCTGGGCCTCAGCAGGCTGGAAACTCAGGCCAGAGCAACTCAAAATGAGAACTGAAGTCAAGTATTAGCTTCCATCTTCAAATCTACAGATGGGGAAAGGATTCCGAGTCGGGTGATTTCAAGGGCAAACGGCATGTGAACCAGTCCTACTAATGAGATCCCAGGCTACCTTAATAGAAGTACACTTTCTAGACCAAGGGAGTGGATAGTTTAATGGTCAAACCATAAATAAAGCACTAGGTTGTTTTTCTGGGAACACGAGAGTAAGGACATCGTCAAGGTGCACAGCTGTATCACAGAGGGAGCAGCTGAGAGGTCCTGACTCCTATCTGGTTGGCATATTAGACGCAGTGGTGGCTATTCAATGTGGAGCAGTGCTCCTCAACCTGAACAGCCACCCGAAGCACAGGCTCACAGGCTTCTGAGAGCTGTTAGGAACGTACAATCTCAGGCCTACCCAAACCTGCGGAGTCAGAATCTGCATTTAAATAAGATTCCCCAGGTGATTCACATGCACATGGATAAGGTTAAGAGGCACTGCTCTAGACCAGTCCTCAACTCTGGCTACACACGGGAGTTGCCTGGATTAACGTGTAAGTGGGAATGACTGGGTTTTACCCCTAGAGTTTCTGAAGTCTTTGGTTCGATGGTCTGAGTATCTGGAACTCCCTGGGTGATTTTAACGTGCAGCCAGAAGGGATAGCCGTGATGTAGACAAGAGGGCTCAAAGAAGGGGCCCTGGAATATGCTCGAAGCCCTGCTGGGCTGTTCCAGAGAAGAGGGAGATGCTTCTGGAGGGCAGAGCGAGGACCGACCAGGAGGAGGAATAGCCCGGGGGCAGATTAACATTAGGAACAGTGGAGAACTTTCTAACAGGTAGAGCTGCCCAAAGAGAGAACAGGTTGTAAGCTCCCTCACTGGATGGCCAAGCAGAGGTCACTGATCAAAGGAGGTGTCAGAAAGGGAAGTTCAAGTTGACCCTGAGGTCCCTTCCTTTCTCTGCTGAGTGGCTGGGAGAGGCCTGAGCTGGGCAGTGCAGTGACAGGCACTAACCAGCCCGTGGTCCCCTCTCCTATGCAGGGACAGCGGCTTCTCCAGCCAGGGTGTGGACACCTATGTGGAGATGAGGCCCGTCTCCACTTCTTCATCAAATGATTCATTCTCTGAGCAAGGTGCGGAGGAGGTATCAGGGCTGAGGGAGACGAGAGGGGCTGCTTGGGTTGAGGTGGGGAGGCCGCCCTGACACCTCTCCCCACACCAGACCTGGACAAGGAGAACGGGCGGCTGCTGGAGCTGCGTGACCTGCTCCACTTTTCCAGCCAGGTGGCCCAGGGCATGGCATTCCTCGCTTCCAAGAACGTGAGTCAGAAAACAGGTCCCTATGATGTGTGGTCACCCGGGGTGTGGGGGGAGGGGGGGTGGCAGGGGCAGCCAACACCCCGTGAAGCTGGATGGGTGAGGGCAAGGGGGAGAAAAGGGAGTGTGTGAAGGGGGCCGTCCTCCTTACAACACAGGCCTGGGAGTCTAGAGCCTGAATGCTGGCTCTGCCACTTGCTGTGTGGCTTTGAGCAACTGCTGAACCTCTCTGAGCCTAGGTTTCTACACCTATAGAGACGGGCACAATCGTAGAATGGCATGAAGGTGGAATTGGGTTACAACGTGTGCAGATGTTTAGGGAAGGGCCTGGAACGGCAGGGCCCTGAGGGTGGCAGCTCCTGCTCCTGTTAGGAGCCCCAGGGCTCACTGCTCCTGGGCCCGTGCAGACCATCTAGCTCTGAGGCAGCTCCTGCCACGCAGGGCCAGAGTCATGATGGTTTCTCAACACTGACTGTATGCCCACATTAAATTTTCCTAGACCTGGGTCTTGGTAGAAGGTAGGGACAGGATCCAGGGTACAGGACCAAAACTGATGCCCACTTCCTCGAGGAGGACCCCAAGCCTTCTGGGTGGGGTCCTGGCTGTTCCTCCGGCACCTTGGGCTCAGGTAGCCGGGGGGGTCAAGACTAACCCTACAGTGCTTTCCCTCAGTGCATCCACCGGGACGTGGCAGCCAGAAACGTGCTGCTGACCAGTGGCCATGTGGCCAAGATTGGGGACTTTGGTCTGGCTAGGGACATCATGAATGACTCCAACTACATCGTCAAGGGCAACGTGAGTGCTGGGAGGGCTGGGCCAGGCCGGGGAGGGGTGGTGACCCAGGGTGCAAGGTGACTGGGGTCTGCTGTGCCAGGCCCGCCTGCCCGTGAAGTGGATGGCCCCAGAGAGCATCTTCGACTGCGTCTACACAGTTCAGAGCGACGTCTGGTCCTACGGCATCCTCCTCTGGGAGATCTTCTCACTCGGTAAGCTGCTGGCGCAGTGCAGGCTCAGCGTGGGGCTGACTGGTGCTTGGTTACCCACGGTGTCCTACACCTCGTGGAGGATGCTAGTCCAGGACACTTGGTGGTCAGGGCAGAGCAAGGGCTGCTAAGAGTGCAGGGATGGGCGAAGTATCTTAAAACCAAGCGTTGCAGCTCCGGAGTGGGCGGGGCACACCCTCTACCTCGACAGGCACTCCCTCCAGGCGGTTTCCTCACCTGTCTGCTTGTGCAGTTGCTGTTTCCTAGAATGCTGTTTGCCCTCACTCTCTGAAACATGCACGTCTTTGAAGATACAGCTCCCATTTCTGGAGCACTAGGCACAGGAAGTTGGGCTAAGCCCTTCAATGTACTCCTCTACCAAGCTCTTATTCCAAAGCTTGTGCTGGGATTTTGTGGGTGTGATGAGGCCTGGCTGAAGACTTTCAACGTCCTAGAAGCCTAAGCCGTTTGCAGTGCCCGGCATATAGTAAACACTCGTTAAGCGGAGCTGCTGTTCTATTATTGCAGTCCAGCTGGGACCCTGCACAGCCAGCCCTGCCAAGATGTGTGGGGGAAGGTGACGGTGAGCACTGAATATGGTCTTTTCCATGATCCTGTCCTTGGCAGGCCTGAACCCCTACCCTGGCATCCTGGTGAACAGCAAGTTCTATAAACTGGTGAAGGACGGATACCAAATGGCCCAGCCTGCGTTTGCCCCAAAGAACATGTAAGTGAAGGACCCCAGGGAGGAAGAATACCCCAGGATTTGTTGGAAGTGGATGGGAAGGTGTGTGGCCTGTCTTTCCTGTCCACAACGTTCCAGGGTCAGGCTTCCACTTGCCCACAGTGGACTAAGACCCCTTTTTATCAACTTCAGGGTTTCCACTGGTTTCCCAGGTAGCACGGGGGACATTCTCAAAGAGGGCTCTCAGCTGGGGCCGGCCCTAAGACGGATGATGAATGTTTAACTCAGACTCTGTTGCTATGACCTCAAGAGGGCTCTCTCTTTCCTTCCCTGTCCTGGAGCCCTGTGGTGGCGGCCAGCCTCTCACTCAGCATAGCCAGCCAGCCGCTGCAGCCTCTTAACTGCCTCATGCCAGCCAGCCCACCCCAGGCTCCTCACTGGCTCCCTGCCCTCACCCACAGCCTTCCCCCACACTCGCTGGCCCATCTCACCCACTGCATCTTTCTCCAGCCACTGTCTCTCCAGGGCTGCTCCCTATGTGCCACCCAGGCGCTTACTGCCAAGGTGGATGCACTCAGCCAGCTAGCTCCTCAGCCACTTAAGTCCTACCATCAACTTAAGTCCTACCATCAACTGGCCTCTTAAACCTACCTGCAGGCAGCAGGAGTGCCCCTTCTTCATCCTAGGAGCTTGGGCAAAAGAGCATCTCTGAGTTTTTTTCCTCCTCAGTTACCACGCCCATTTTGACAAAAAGCCCCTTTTCCCGGGGTTACTGGAAAGATTAGATAATGCACACCAAGGACTTCGCACTGGCCTTGTGCAAAGCTCACTTCTGACTTGGTTTTGGGACCTCTGCGGGGCAGGACCCTGTAGTGTGTGTGCGTGCGTGCACAGACATGATGAGTCCCAGGCCCACAAGTAGCTTCTGTCCTGCCTCAGATACAGCATCATGCAGGCCTGCTGGGCCCTGGAGCCGACCCGCAGACCCACCTTCCAGCAAATCTGCTCCCTCCTTCAGGAGCAGGTTCTAGTGGATAGAAGAGAGCAGGTGAGTGGTGCCAGGCTCAGGGTGGGTGGCTGGTTAAAGCTGGGCCTGACTGATCAGTTCTGACCATCCCCTGACACCCCCCCACCCAGGACTACAGCAACCTGCCAAGCAGCAGCAGTGAGCCGGAGGAGGAGAGCTCCAGCGAGCACCTGGGCTGCTGTGAGCAGGGGGACGTTGCCCAGCCCCTGCTGCAACCCAACAACTACCAGTTCTGCTGAGGAGGTGGTCACAGGGATGTACTCGCTCCCCTCCTCCTCCATGGATGGGGCACCATGGGGAGAACACAGACTGTGCCTTTGGTCATTTCCCTCAACAGCCCAGCCCTGAAACTCGGGAATGCAGGAGGTTGGAGAGAACCCCACTCCCAGGGCCTGGGCCATCACTGCCAGTCAGGGGCTGGGGCTCAGCCCCGCCCCCCACCAGTTCTCAATGCTGTGGCCTCGTGTGTGCTATGCCAACTGGGAGAATACCCAGCTCACTCTTAGCCTGTTCCCGCTTCCTCCCCTCCTTCCCTCCTGTTTCAAGGGAAATGGACTGGTTTTGTGACTGAAGTCCCCAGGAGCTGCCCAAACCTTGAGGAAAAAACAAGGCTCCCTGGCCCTTGGCCGAATGGAAGAACACCTGCTGCGTGGATCAAGGAGAGCAGGCCAGTGCTCAGGGCTGCACTTGGTTCAGGCCCTTGGAGCAGGGTGACTCCTCTGTAAGAATCTAATTGTCCCTCTCTGCCCTCTAAGCCTTCTCTCCACGGCCCCACCCACCCTAGGTCTGGTATTGCTGCAATGAGCCAGGTGGCAGCTAAAGGTTGGGGTGCGTGCTCTGTCCGGCCCCGCCCCACCATTCTGAGCTGGAAGGCAGGGGCCCCGTGTGGCTGGCCACACCAAGCAAGCAGCACACGCTCCAGGTTGACTCATCATAACTAACAGTCACGCTGTGGGATGTCTCTGTCAGCATTAAAACTAACAGCATTAACACAGCTGGCCTCTGGTCTTTGTGCCATGCGGATTCCCGGGGACCTTCGTCCATCCTTCTGCGGTGAGTGCCCAACCCCAGCACCTCTGGGGCCCAACCACACTGAGCTGCATACAATGAGGCTGGAATGGACTCTTGTTGCACCCAAACCATATAATTTAATAAACTTTATTCTGGTCGGGGAAGAGGGAGGGGAAAAAAGCCACCTATTCCACTCCTCTCAATAAATTAAATAACACGGCCAATTCCCGTGCCCTAAGCAAACTTTGGGCACTTGAGCCAGTCCTGCTGTTTCCTTACGGCCCAGTCTGCTTACCCTTCACAGAAGGGAGTTTTTCCTACTGCTCCCAGGTTATATCATGCTCACGGGCCACACCCCCTCTGTGATGAGGGTCCAGAGAGGATGCAGGCTGCAGCAGCAGTGACCAGGAAAGGAGGAAGGGGCTCCTCTTCCTCAAAGCTTGGGGCAGGGAGGCTAGGCCTGGAAGAGAGTTGTGGCTCACCCTTTCTCAGCTGCCCCCAGATGTGGGTGCAAAGGGAATGCATTCCTCCTCTGGGAGAAGGACCCCTGGAGCTAAGGAAGCCCCCAAGGCCCCGAGTCAAAGGCAACAGGCCGCAGGGGCCGGAAACGGTGTCCCTGGGTGGGAAGGGAAACCTCAGCAGCCTTGGCCCACCCAGGACCTCCACCCCCACCCACAGGCGCCCCTGGGAAGCCAGCAGCTACCTGCCTTCTCTCAGCCTCCCTGCCCCTTTACTGAACATATGGTGCCACCCAAAGAGTGTCCTGGTGCCTGTCCCGACCCCCAGAAGGTTGAGAACCAAGGACCCTGGGCTCCACCGTGCTCAGGAATGGAAGCTCTTTGGTCAGTCCCAGCATCAGAGGCTGGTCCCCTGGATGGATCTGCCTCGGGCAAGGGCCTTACTATGGCTTGAGAGAGATGGTGCGGTCCCTGCACAAGAGCCCGGCTTACTCTGCAGCTGTGGCCACCTCCTCTTCCTCAGCGTCCTCCTCCGTCTCCGTCTTGATCTGAGCAACCCCGAGGCGGTACAGGGTGTCTCGGATGACCACCTCGCCAGGCTGGCAGCTCTGCACAATGTCATGGATCTGCCGGTTGACAATCTCGCGACTGGTAAGGAAGTCCATGAGGCGGTTGTAGAGGTAATAGTGGGTGGCATTGTCAAAGGCAATGGGCCGCTGGCGGACGCTGTTTGGTTTGCTGTCTGCAAAGGAGGACAGGATGGCTGCGTAGGGCGCCAACTCAGGACACAGGGCCAAGGAGTGGTGCCCAGCACTGGGGTCGCCAGGACTGGGCTGTGTGCCTGCATGGACGATGCGCCGTGTGGCAGTCTTGGTGACCGGGTGCTGGACAGAGTGCTCAGCCTCCGACATATCCACCGTATAATGCTGGTCCAAGAGTTCTGGGCAGGACACGCTCTACAAGGGAGATGATAAGCCACTGTGACGTGAGGGAAGATTAAGGTCCAAGCTGTGTGACGGGTGAGAGTGAAAGCTGTGGGTGAGCCAGCTCTGTTTAAATCCTACCGTCACCACATAACACGTTTCCCGGGGCAAGTCCCCCTTTCCTCCTCCCCTGTGCCTCCGTTTCCTCATGTGAGAATGGGGACGGTAACAGTGGCCACCTCCCAGAGCAGATGCTGGATTACCTGAGCTAATATTTATATCTGCCTAAGCAATCAGGCTGGGGCTGCAGGGGAACAGGAAGGAAGTGATTCCCACGGAGGCTCAGATGCCTCACACCAACCTTACAAACCCAGTGAGCCCCATGGACTAAGGCAAAGGCCAGTGAGGACAATGATGGCCCCTTCCTATTACCAGTCCTAACGTCTCTTCTAGCCAAGGGCATGTGCCCGTGCTAAGAACCACAGCCTGATACAGTGCACCAAGACAGAGACCAGGGCTCTGCCATTCATCTGCTGTGTGACACTCGACAGGTCCATTTTCACCTCGGGCCCTTACTTCCCCCTTTTAATTAGAGGAAAGGGGTTGACATGGTCAGCGTTTTCTAAGCCACTGTGTCTCCAGATCACGACACAAGGAGTGCCACACAGCATATTCGGTCAAAGCCAAAACAGGGCTGGTCTGGGCCTGCAGTATGTCAGCATGTTAGCATGGCAGCATGCACAGTGTCCTCAAAGGTGGCAATTTTCTAGGCTTAACTGCAAGGTGACCCCTTTGACCCCAAGATACCTGGGGTCACCCTGGGCACCCTAAATGACATGCTGTGGCCTCACATACACGCATGGGGTGGGTCAGTAAAAATTTGTGGAGTAAATGCTGGTTCCAGAGCACAGGTGGAGAAAAAGGGTGGTGGATGGTTCGCAGAAGGTCTTCCCAACGAACCAGGGGGATGCGTCCCAGTTCCTCAGAAGGGAACTCACCACAGGCGGCTCCGTGGGGCTGGAGAAACAGCCCTGATTCCTCCCCCACATCTGGTTGGTCAGCTCTGGGTAGCAGAGGTCAGCACACAGGGCCACTGGTGTGGCCATGTCGACCACATACACAGGAGGCCAATGGCGGGAGGAGACGAGCAGGTCCACGTGGTCGAGGGCACTCTCGCCCCGCACGAGATACTTAGAGCCACACACCACCTGGTGGGGAGATGGAGTACAGCACAGGGTGAAGAAGCCAATCTGCTGACAGACCTAGTCAGGTCCACTCGCTTCCTCCCAGGAAGACGGACAATCAGGTTTTATGACTGAGGTCACGCCATCCTGCCAGAGCCCGTGACATTCTGCTTCCCTCCTACTTCTGGCCCTAAATGAAGTCGCCAACTCACTGCAGCCTGGGAGAAGAGCTGGGAGCATCCGAGCCTCCAATGAGGCTGAGAGATCCCCCCCATCCCCACCCACCAAGGCATCACCTCCAAACCCCACCCTCCACATCACCCCACCAAACACCAGCTAGTCCAGTGGTTCCCAAGCTGCATGGCACCAGCAGCTAGGAGGAAGTTCCTGGGTCCCACTCCAAATCTACACAATTAGCCACTAAAGGTGGAGTCTAAGCATCTGTATTTTGAGCAGACCCTGATGGTGCTGTCCAGATGAGAACCCCTGATGAAGGTACAGCCTTCCTCAAAACCTCCAAATACCACTCCACTGCTGGGCAGCTGTGTGTCCACTGGAGAATTCTGCCTCTACCTCCCTACCTTCACACCTACCAGTCCTGGCTATCGCCTCCAAGTAATACCACTGGCCCACCACAGCCCCGAGACCTATAGCTCTCACATCCCTGTGTTGTCAAGGGCTTCTCCTGAGATGAACCCCAGTCACATGAACACAAGGCTCTGAGCAGCCTCTGACCTGCCAGGGGTTGTTGAAGGAGTTGACGACCTGACTGTCTTTCGACAGCTAGTCGCCCTGCCCCACTCAGTGAAGTGGAGGCTCTGCGAAGCCGTCTTCCCCATTTAGCACTGTTCAGGGGTTTTTCTACCCTGGCATCTTCTTGGATTGGGACGACTGTGTCACACAGGGCACAACCTTCCCAGTGCTATCCTGGCGCCTACCCTGTGCATGCTCTCTACGGGCCTAAGGAGTGATCTTCTTAGAACCCAAATCAGACCATTTCCCATTCAGACCATCCAATGGGCCCCTCTCATCACTCTCAGAAGAAAACCCAAACTGTTACACTTGCCTCCAAAGCTCTACATGAACTGGCCTCCGGGGACCCCCTCCCCGCTCAGGACATAGTGGTCACATCCCTTCCTAAGCTTTACATGGGGCTCTCAGCCTCCTCTGGCTGCCCCACAGACAGCAGGTCCCTCTCCGCTACTTTCTATCTCTGGTCCTTGTCTAGTTCCTGCAGAGCTGGTGCCACAAGCCATGGTGACTTTGTCTCTCAATATGAGGTCACCCAGGGAGGAATGACATCTTCGCTGCTCACCTTTGTACCCTCAACAGCTGATGCAGGGGCCAGCGCACGGTAGGGTGCCTAACACTCACTGGTGGTGACCCATAGGAGCTATTCCACAGCTGCCCAGTGACCTAAGTGCCAGCTCCAGGATGAGCTGGATCAAGCAGATCCTCTGTGTGGGCAGCTGACATGGACAATTGCGCCCTGAGTTCTTCCTGTTATCCTCCTACCTGATGGGGGCACATCTTGTAGATTTTACCCCCTGTGAGATGAGGTGGGGGCTGTCGAGCTCTGGCTCCATTCTGAACAGATTCGTAGAGGGCCAACAAGGAGAAGCAGAGCTGGTCCTAGAGCACAAGGACAAGATTAAACACAGCAGTGAATGCTAAGCGACCAGGCTTGGTACACAGCACCAAATGCTCACTCAAAGCAAATGGATAAACTGTTAAGGCCAGATTGGGCCTTGGAGCCTCACCAGCCCAATGTCCTTTAGGTACATATGGGGACGCTGAGGCCCTGTAAGCCAGCCAGACTGATCAAGCTGCCAGACTCTGAGGCCTGGGTTCTCTCTATTTTTTTACAGGGCAGGGAAAGTGTCAAGGAGGAGCCAACATTTGAGTCTGAACTTGAAGCACAAGATTTTCAAGAGCACATTAGTATGAAGGGAAGTACATAATGTATGGATAAAATACACACACCCCTCCACGTCCTTCTCTATGGACGCCACGGCGCTTGTTTTCTAAGAGCCTGGATAGGTGATAACTAGACACTGCACACTTCATGAGGTTGGTATTTTGGTTATTTCCACTTTGCAAATAAGGAAAATGAGGCTCAGATGTGTAAGGCAGCTTATCCGAGGCCACACACAGTTAGCAGGAGAGCCTGGATTCCTGAACCTGAGTCTGGACCCACTGCCTCAACAGAGGAACTGCCTGGATGGGAAGGCCTTGCGTGCATGTCACAAGCTGGCTGCTGGCTATCTCCCAGGCCTCCCTGCCCACCAAAACTCTGTGTCCAACACAAGTGCCCAGTCACGGGTATTCATATCCCTGCCCAGAAAAATGGCCCACCAGTCTGCTCCCAAAGTCCCTACCCCCAGCGCTGCCCCGAGACTCACCCTGGAATCTTCTGCCCCGAAGGGGATGCCACACTGCCTCAGCAGGCAGTGCAGCTCCTCCTCGCTGTAGGAGCCGATCTCCTCAAGCTTGCAGGTGCCCTCCTGGAGCAGCCGTACCAAGGCACCGCCATTGCCTGCAAGAGACGTTGTGCTAATGGGAGGGCGCTACTGCCAGCCACCTGAGGTCCTGCGGAGTCCCTCATGCACGAGGATGGGAACAACGGGGCCTGGTCCACAGTCGAGCAGGCTTTGCCCTGAGCACTGCCCTGGGGACTGGGAGAGGGGGACTCAAGGCAGGTCTTAAGCTTCTACAGATACCCGAAGTCTCTGAGAGCCAGCTTTCTGCCTTTGAACATCTAGGGGAGATACCCTGCAGAGCACCCATGCAAAGAACCCTGAAATGGGTCAGCTTTTAACCTTTTAAGTTTTTCCAGAACCATGATCTCAGATTCTTAACACAACTGCAGCAACATGAGGAACAGTAATAGCTCTCATTTTAAAAATGCTCTTTATACACTCTGTTCCTGAACCTGATCAACAGAACTATGCAGGGGCCTTACTTATAAAATCAATTTAGCAGATCATATCCAGGATTTTAAAAATGAAATAGAATAGAAAATCAAGTATGTTGCATTTGGTAAGGGAAAGTACTGCTTTATGAAAGTTGTTTTAGTTACAGATATACACAGACGTGTTACTTATATGACCATCACGCTGGGTCATGATGTAGAACCTATTGCTTACTCTGAGTTGCAGTTAAAAAAAAAAAGTAGGCCATCACTCTAACTGTATTAGCTCACTTAATCTTCACAACAACCTAGGTGGTGGGTAGCAATGTCATGCCCTCTTTGTAAATGAAGCAACAGAGGCTCGGGGCAATGAAGGGATTTGGTGGAGGTCACATGGTCACTGAGGAGCATAGCTGGGAATCAAACCCAAGTTGTCAGAAACTGACGCCCTCAAAAGAGCTAGCCCAGGGCTTCTCAACGTATAAGCACAGAGCATCTAAAAAACCATGTGAAAGAGCTGTTTAGAAGGCAGACTCCCTGCCTCCCCCTACATCTCTCAGTGAGAATCTTTGGGGCTGGAGCCCTACCATCAGCATTTTTCAGAGGGTTCCCACTGCTCGGTGTAGGGCATCCCAGAAGGCTGACAGTGGGCTATGTGGGTCAGTCCTATACAATGTGGCTGGCAGCTCTTCAACACTCTGCACATGACTTTCATCTCCAGGGGATTTTGTCACAGGTTGTCATTATCTTTCCAGAAAGAGCCCTCCAGGTGGGCCTGGCCCCCTCTCAACCATACATGCTGTCTTGCCATGGACAATGTTCCATACGCGATGGGACCCTTCCCTGACCCCAGCTACCAGGTGGCCTTACCAGGTACTGGCTGCACATCCAGGTTTTTGTCTTTCTCAGTGTTGACGACCACAGCTCCTCTCATGAGTGGTGGGAAGAAGGGGGCAATAACAGAGGCATCAAACTTGGTGATAGGGATGCTGGCGGGGAAGGCCACCTGCTCAATCACTTCTGTCTCCATCGTGGCCCAAAAGTCCTCCACATTTACCTCACTAGAGGCCAAGAAGTCAGGCCAGGTGAACTAAAAGGTCAGGACAAAAAGGTCAAACTGTAGGAGCCACAGAACGTCAGCAACACAACAGCCTACCTTCTCCATACAGGCTGAGCAGGGGGAAGGAGTCAGACAGCCACACACTGCCGGGATACCCCCGAATCTAACATCTTAGTGCCAAACTGCTCCTTGGCCTCATTCCTTTCTCCCACACCACAGCACTCCCCAAGACCTAAGTCTCTTCTGTGTCTATGCCTTTATTCATGTCCTCTTCCCTGCCTCGCCAGGAGAGGGCAGCTACCACTGCCTGTCATGTGCCAGACACCGACTAACTAACTACTACTATACAAGCCTGAGGGTGCCTGAGGTGAGAGCACTGGAGCGAGGGGCGGTCTGAACGAGAACGGGAACAAAGATCTAGTTCCAAAGCCCAAGCCCTTAATCCTTATGCCTGGCTGGCAGGAATCATCAGAATAAAACTTAGTGGCACTCCACCCACTTGCAAGGCCCTGTTGATCCCTCACCTCCTCCCGAAGGTCCTCCCAGACCATGCCAGCACATGGCTATCTCCTCTACGTGCAGCATGTACTTACCTACTGTAGACATTCAGCACTGCGCTACTCAATTTTTCTTCTTGTAAGCACTCTTATGCAGCCCTCAGAGTGAGACCCTGATCCTATTACCTCATCAGAATCATTTGCGATACTCAGCAATGCTGATATCCGGGCTGCACCTCCATCTGTATGAACTAAATCCCTAAGGCTGAATTTTTAAAAGATTCCCTAGGTGAGTGGTTCTCAAAGCGTGGACCCGTGGCATGAGCAGCACCTGGGAACTTGTTAGACATGCAAATGCTCAGCCCACTCCAGACCCACTGAATCAGAAACCCTGGGGGTGGACCCCAGCAAGCCTCTCACACTAAAGTTTGCAAATCATTGCCCAATGTAATTCTTATGCCCACAAAGTCTGAGAACCATTGCTCCACATAGAGATGTCTCTTATCAGTCCAGAGGGTCCTCCTCTACCAGTCCCCAAGAGGCGTGCCCAACCCTACAATCTCCTCGTGGACGTTTGTTTTGTTCAATACCTTTCTGTTTTATTTCACTGGCTTTAGAACACCCCCAGCCTGCTCTCCTCGTACGCACTACCCAACTCTGCACTCCACACACAAAAAGGAGAAAAAGTCCTGGTCTCTAGAAAGAAACACCCAGAAACAAAGAAGAGAAGAGACACGCATACGTAAAGTGAAGGGAATGCTACTCCATTCTGTGAGGAGTGAGCCTTGATCGGAACAAGGCGGGTACCAGGCAGTACTAGGATATGTGAGTTTTTGCAGGGAGGCGGGCTTCTGTCTATTCTAGAGAGCCAAGAGTCAAAAGCCTGTGACCAGATGTGTTTAAAAAAACAGAGCTCTGGGGCTTCCCTGGTGGCACAGTGGTTGAGAGTCCACCTGCCGATGCAGGGGACACAGGTTCGTGACCCTGTCTGGGAGGATCCCACATGCCGCGGAGCGGCTGGGCCCGTGAGCCATGGCCGCTGAGCCTGCGCGTCCGGAGCCTGTGCTCCGAAACGGGAGAGGCCACAACAGTGAGAGGCCCGTGTACCGCAAAAAAAAAAAAAAAAAAAAACCAGAGCTCAGGGTCCCAGGAGGTACTGGTGAGCATGGTGGTGCTTATGAGCTCAGATTCTGGAGTGAGGGAGCCAGACCAAGGTCAAATCCCAGCTCCACCCCTTCCTGACTGGATGAGCTTGGGCAAGCCCCCTTCATCTACAAAAATATCACAGGGTTGAGAAGTCAGCCAGAAAGTAATGCACTGAGTACAGAGTAAGAACTTGGTATATGTAATAAAATGCTCAATAAGTCATAGCTGCACTATTAATATTTCCATTACACAAGCAGATTTGAATGAGTCTAGAAACAGCCTCTTTGTGAGATAACACACAAAAGCAAATTTTTTTTACAGTTCATTTTACCTACAGGGAACACTTCGAAGGCTCCAGTAGCATTATGCTTGTTTTCATATATCTCATTATACACCACCACCCTCAAAACAGAACTATTTGATCACCGTATGTACTTATTTTTTTAATTGGGAAGAGAAAGAGGAATATGCATTAAATCCCTCATATGCTCAGCTGGCCGTGTCAAAATACACCAGAGCTTTTCTCCAGAGGTCCTGTACCACTCCCGGGGGCAAACAAGTGAGCTGCAGGTCCAGTGCTTAAAGAGTCCCCGTGGTAGAGTTCAGACATGGAAAGCTACTACTAGCATGCTCACGGGGCACTCCACACCTACGCAGGCAGACCAGACCTCTCAGCATGAAGATGGGAAAGAGTTCACCTATGGGATTTTTGAAAAATTCCCTGTACCAGGTTAAATAATTTTCCCTATTAGTCTTAGTTTGTGAAGAGTTTTATCATAATGGGCGCTGAATAAAAAAGAAAGCCTTTTTTAGACATCCACTGAAATAATCATATGGGTTTTCTCCTTTAAACTGCTAAGTACTGAATTACATTAGTATATTTTCTAATGTTGAAACAATCTTGCCTTCCTGGGATAAGCTTAGTCATGATTTTATTTTACTCACTGTTAGATTTGTTCTGCAATTATCTTATTCAGAACTCTGACATCTATATTCTTGAGTACTATCAGCCCAAATTTTCAGCTTATATTAAATGTATGGTTTTGTTTTCAGTTATATGGTCTTACACAACGACTTATATCCACTTTTGCTATTCTTCTACGACTGGAATCTTATTTCTTGGATAGTTGTTAGAATTAATGTATAAAGCCATCTGAGTTTGGTGTTACCTTTGTGTGAACATTTTTTAGTTAAGAACCTAAGTCAGATCAGTCCACTCTTCCTCAAAACCCTTCACGGGCTCTCCATCTCACTCAGTGGAAGTCCTTACAATGGCCCGGGCCACCCATAGCCTCTTGAACCTCACATATCCAACCACTCTACACCCTGCTCACAGAGCCAGCCACATCGGCCACCTTTCTGTTCCTCAACCACGCCCAGCAAACCCTCTTCAGATCCCATTCTTGCTGCTCCCTCTGCCTGGAATATTCCTCCCACTGAAAACTACACGGGCTTCAGAAGGCTCTACTCAAATGCCCTTGTGTCAGACAGGACTTCCCCGACTACCCTCTATAAAGCAGGAGCCCCTTCTTCTCACAATACTGCTCTCTTCCTTACCCTGCCTTACTGTTATTGTTACTTTAAATTAATGTATTACATATAATATATATTAATAGTATTTTAATATAATATACACAATTATTAATGTTTGTGTCCTGTCTCCCCAAATCAGAAAGTGAGCTCCATGAGCTCAAAAACTCCGTGGGTTTAACTGCCATTTCCCAAATGCCTAAAAAGTGCACCTAGAGTTCATGTTTAATAAATCTGTTGTTGAATAAGTAACAGGTGCCTCCATTCCGCCTGGCCTGCCTTACATGAAAGCCTGGGAACTGGCAAGAAAAAGCTACTCACCTCACCCAGGAAAGAACTGGAGCCATCTGCTCCTGGAAACACCATGTAGGAAGGTGGCTGCCAAAGTGCGCAGACATTCCTAAAGGTCACCTGTGGTGGCCAAGAGGCACTTACCTCCACACTCTTTAGTGCCAGCACGTTTTCTTCACTCCTCTGGGCCACTTCCACTTTGGGGGCCACACCACAGATGCCACAGATCATGTCATTGTAGTCTCGGACAGTGAGGCACTCAAAAGCCCAATAGCCATTGCACAGCAGCTCCTGCAGCTGGCTCAGCTCCTCTGAGGTAAGAGTCTTCTCTAGAAGGAGAGCAAGAGCTCTGAGAAGTTCACAGAAGAAGACCTGGAGGCCACAGGGGATGAGCAATGGCCAGCAAGAATAGCAATTCTGCAAGACTGCTTCTCTCCTAAGAACACCCAAGAGTACTAACCACCAAAGGGTCAAGCACCCTAGCCATTAGGTGTTCGGGTAGCAACTCAAAGGGCAATTCCAATGAGAGTTATAGCTGCCCTGTACTCAGCACCCACTAGGACCTAGATGCTATGCTGAGAGCTTTGAATACATTCTCTCATTTAACTCTCACATCTTTATGAGCCAAGAGTATTATTATCCTCACTGAATAACTGGAAAAACTGAGGCACAGAGAATAACTTACTCAAAACCACACTGCCACTAAGTGGTATAGTGCAGACTCAAACACAAACCTGTCTGACCCTAGAACCTTTCCTCTACTCCATCTGACCTCATAGCAGGGAAGGGGCAGGGGGCCTGGATTCTGTAGGAAGGGATGGAAAAAGCATAAACAGAAAGAAATGAGGAAAGCAAAGGGAAAAATAATTTCTAATAATAAGGAGGGTGGTGCCCACCTTCATGTCTCAGCATAAGCCTAGGAAATGGGAGCAGACCTCCAGAGGCTGTGTATTCAGAATGAGTCTGCTTAGCATGTAGTAACGCCAAGTCTACCTATGACCAAAGGATGAGCTTCTATGAAGTCTGTTTAATCTTGTGCTGAAGGTCTCTGAAGTCTATTTAATCTTGTGCTGAAGGTCTCTGGATACACGGAAAGACTCATGCTTTCCAAAGTTTGGCATTCGTAAAATTCAAGAGGAGGGGTGTGTTAGGAAGTCAAGAATGTCTTCTTTTCAAAGTATCAGACTCTCCTCCAAGGTAGTTATGTTAACGAAAGCCCATCACTGAAAATTCCCAGGGAGCTTAGAACTAACCTTGGGGAAACGGAGGAAGCCAACCTTTACCTGTCTGATCCTGCACTGACTTCAGAAGAGTGCTGATGGATACTCTGGGGTCCTCTCCCAGCTTGATCTGGTTTCGGATTGCAAAAAGCAAGTCCAGGCTCACTAGCAGCTTGTTTCCCACATTAAAGAGACCTGCAGGTTAAAAAATGGCAACAGAGACATTCACTGTTAACAACATCCACAACTGCAAAAAACAGGAGACTAACTAAATGCCCACCGACGGGGGAACATTAAAAAATAAATTGTGGTACATTCATAAAATACAAAACTAGAGGTCACCTGCTAGTTGGTAACCTACAAGCAGCTGTGAAGGAAACTGTTTAATTGGATCCCACTGTACCCAGAGCACAGAGCAGCCTTTTCAGCATGCAGGGGCTGCTCAGAAACCTTGCCTAGAAGATGGCAGAAGAGAAGAACATGAGCTCATCTCTTCTTACGAAAACACCAAAATCACAACTAACTGCTGGAACAACCGTCAACAAAAAAACCCACTGGAACCTACCCAAAAAAGCTATCCTACATCCAAAGAAAGTGTAGAACCCACAACAAGATGGTAGGAGGGGAGCAATCACAATAAGATCAAATCCCACACTGCCAAATGGGCGACCCACAAATTGGAAAATAATTATATCGTAGAGGTTCTCCCACAGGAGTGAAAGTTCTGAGCCTCACGTTAGGCTCCCCAGCCTGGGGGTCTGGGAATGAGAGGACGAGCTCCCAGAGCATCTGGCTTTGAAGGCCAGAGGCGACTGACTACAGGAATTCAGCAGAACAGAGGGAAACAAACTCTAATCTCAGAGGGTGCACACAAGGTCTCGTGCACACCAGGACCCAGGAGAAAAAGCGGTGACCTCCTAAGACCCTGAGCCAGACCTACCTGCTGGTATTAGAGGGTCTCCTGTGGAGGCAAGGTCGGCTGTGGCTCACTGCAGGGACAGACACTGGTGGCAGTAATTCTGGGGAGTACTAATTGGCATGAACCCTCCTGGAGGCTGCCATTTTCTCACCAAAACCCGGCCCCACCCAACAACCTGCAGGATCCAGTGCTGGGATGCCTCAGGAAAAACCACCAACAGATCAGGAACACAGCCCCACCCATCAGCAGACTGACTGCCTAAAATCTTCCTGAGCACACAGCTGCCTGCTAAACACACCCCTTGACACAGCCCTGCCCACCAGAGGGACAAGACCCAGCTAGACCAACCAATGTGCAGCGACCAGTCCCTCCCACCAGGAAGCCTGCACAAGCCTTGCAAACTGGCCTCATCCACCAGGAGGCAACAGCAAAAGCAAGAAGAACTACAACCCTGCTGCCTGTGGAATGGAAACCACACTCACAGAAAGTTAGACAAAAACGAGACAGCAGAGGAATATGTCCCAGACGAAGGAACAAGATATAACCCCAGAACAACTAAGTGAAGTGGAGATAGGAAATCTACCCAAAAAAGAATTCAGAGTAATGATAGTAAAAAGAATTCAGAGTAATGATCCAAGATCTCGGAAAAAGAATGGAGGCACAGGTGAAGATAAAAGAAATGTTTAACAAAGACCTAGAAGAACTAAAGAACAAACAGAGATGAACAATATAATAATTGAAATAAAAAATACACTAGAAGGAATCTATAGGAGAATAAGTGAGGCAGAAGAATGGATAAGTGAGCTGGAAGACAGAATGGTGGAAATCACTGCTGCAGAACAGAATAAAGAATAAAAAGAAATGAGGACAGTCTACGAAACCTCTGGGACAACATTAAATGCACCAACATTTGCATTATAGTGGTCCCAGAAGGAGAAGAGAGAGAGAGAGAACCTGAGAAAATATCTGAAGAGATATAGCTGAAAATTTCCCTAACATGAGAAAGGAAACAGTCACCCAAGTCCAGGAAGTGGAGAGTCCATACAGGATAAACCCAAGGAGGAACATGCCGAGACACATAGTAACCAAACTGACAAAAATTAAAGGCAAAGAGAAAATATTTAAAGCAACAAATAATATACAAGGGAATTTTCGTAAGATTATTACCTGATTTTTCAGCAGAAACTCTGCAGGCCATGAGGGAATGGCACGATATATTTAAAGCGATGGAAGAGAAGAAACTACAACCAAGAATACTCTACCCAGCAAGGCTCTCATTCAGATTTGACGGAGAAATCAAAAGCTTTACAGACAAGCAAAAGCTAAGAAAATTCAGTACTAACAGACCAGCTTTGCAACAAATGTTAAAGTACCTTCTCTAGGTGGAAAAGAAAAGACCAAAACTAGAAACAAGAAAATTACAAATGGGGAAAGCTCACTGGTAAGGGTAAACATACAGTAAGGGTGGGAAATAATCCACACACAAATATGATATCAAAACCAGCAATCATGAGGAGTGTACAAATGCAGGATATTGGAAATGCACTTGATATTAAAAGACCAGGAAGTTACAACAATCTTGTTTATATATAGACTGCTATATCAAAACCACATGGTAACAGCAAACCAAAAGTATACAGCAGATACACACACAAAAAAGAAAAAAGAATCCAAACACAACACTAAAGTTAGTCATCAAATCACAAGAAGAGAACAAAAGAGGAAGGGAAGAAAAAAGACCTACAAAAACAAATCCAAGACAATTAACAACATGGCAATAAGAACACAGATATGGACAATTACCTTAAAAGTAAATGGATTAAATGTTCGAACCAAAAGACACAGACTGGCTGAATGGATACAAAAACAAGACCCATATATATGCTGTCTACAATAGACACACTTCAGTTCTAGGGACACATAACAGACTGAAAGTGAGGGGATGGAAAAAGGTATTCAATGCAAATGGAAATCAAAAGAAAGCTGGAGTACCAATACTCATATCAGACAAAATAGACTTTAAAATAAAGACTATTACAAGAGACAAAGATGATCAAGGGATCAATCCAAAAAGAAGATATAAGAATTGTAAATATATATGCACCCAACATAGAAGCACCTCAATATATAAGGCGAATGCTAACAACCGTAAAAGGAGAAATCAATGTAACACAATTTAATAGTGGAGACTTTAACACCCCACTTACATCAATGGACAGATCATCCAGACGGAAAATCAATAAGGAAACACAGGCCTTAAATGACACATTAGACCAGATGGACTTAATTGATATTCAGAGAGCATTCCATCCAAAAGTAGCAAAATACACATTCTTTTCAAGTACACATGGAACATTCTCCAGGATTCATCACATGTTGGGTGACAAAGCAAGCCTCAGTAGATTTAAGAAAACTGAAATCATATCAAGCATCTTTTCCAACCACAATGCTATGAGATTAGAAATCGATCGCAAGAAAAAAAACTAAAAAAACACAAACATATGGAGGCTAACCAATATGCTACTAAACAACCAATGGATCACTGAAGTAATCAAAGAGGAAATCAAAAAATACCTAGAAACAAACGCAAATGAACGCACGATGATCCAAAACCTATGGGACGCAGAAAAAACAGTTCTATGAGAGAAGTTTATAGCAATACAATCTTACCTCAGGAAACAAGAAAAATCTCAAATAAACAAGCTAACCTTACATACCTAAAGCAACTACAGAAAGAATAACAATCAAAACCCAAAGTTAGTAGAAGGAAGGAAATCATAAAGATTAGAGCAGAAATGAATGAAATAGAGACAAAGAAAACAATAGAAAAGAACAATGAAACTAAAAGCTTGTTCTTTGAGAAGGTAAACAAAACTGATAAACCTTTAGCCAGATGCATCAAGAAAAAAAACGGAGAGGGCTCAAGACAATAAAATTAGAAATGAAAAAGGAGAAGTTACAACTCACACCAGAGAAACACAAAGGATCATAAGAGACTACTACAAGCAATTATATGCCAATAAAATGGACAACTTAGAAGAAACGGACAAATACTTAGAAAGGTACAATCTCCCAGGACTGAAGCAGGAAGAAATAGAAAATATGAACAGACCACTCACAAATACTGACATTGAAACTATGATTTAAAAACTCCCAACAAACAAAAGTCCAGGACCAAATGGCTTCACAGGCAAATTCTATCAAACATTTAGAGACGAGTTAACACCTATCCTTCTGAAACTATTCCAAAACATTGCAGAGGAAGGAACACTCCCAAACTCATTCTGAGGTCACCATCACCCTGATACCAAAACCAAAGATACCACAAAACAAAACAAAAAGCAAACAAAAAAAACCACAGGTCGATATCACTGATGAAGATGCAAAAATCCTCAACAAAATACTGGGTTGGCCTAGAAGTTCCTTCAGCTTTTAAGAAAAAAATTAAAGACGCATTTTTCATTTTCACCAAGAACTTCCTTGAACAATATATTCAGCCTTTCGTTCCACTACCTTCTGCCATTTTTCAGGCAACTTCATAATTCCATCTTTCCAAAACTTTTTACCTTTTTGAGCAAAGAACTGTTCCAGGTACTTTTTACAGTCTTCCAGGAAACTGAAATTTTTTTCCATTAAGAGAATTTTGTAAAGACATAAACCAATGGAAATCCGAAGGTGCAATGTCTGGTGAATATAGTGGATGAATGAGAACTTCCCAGCCAAGCTGTAACATTTTTTGCCTGGTCATCAAACATGTGGTCTTGCATTATCCTGATGGAAGATAATGCGTTTTCTGTTGACTAATTCCGGACGCTTTTTGTCGATGCTGCTTTCAGTTGGTCTAACTGGAGCAGTACTTGTTTGAATTAATCGTTTGGTTTTCAGGAAGGAGCTAATAATAGAGGACCCCCTTTCAATCCCACCCATACACATGTCACCTTCTTTACATGAAGACCGGCTTTTGGTGGTGGTTGCCCCATGATCTCTTCCGTTCCACATTATCGTACAGTATCCACTTTTCGTTGCCCGTCACAATTTGTTTTAAAAACGGCAACGTTTTTACTGTTTAAATAGAGAACTGCATGTGGAAGGTTTTTTGTGCTTGGCTTATGTGGAACCCGAACATCAAAGTGATTAACATAACCAAGCTGATACAAATGATTTTCAATGCTTGATTTGGATATTTTGAGTATGTCGGCTATCTCCCGCATGGTATAACGTTGAATGTTTGCAATTAATGTCTCGATTTGATCTCTATCAACTTCAACTGGCCTAC